TTCTACTTTGCATACACAGGGTCACCAGGAGTCAGAAGCAACGCCACAGCAATTCAGAAACAACTGTGATAAGCATTCTCAAACTTTCCATATGAGCTGCTGTTGTTAGGTGTTATCAATTCATAGAAACTGAATTAAATTATTTTGACAAATATGAAAAACATCCTGACTAAAATGTCTGTGAGAAAATATTCCATCTATTCATTTGTGGAGATTCAAAAGGCAACACAGTTATGCTACCTGGGACAAAGATAGATTGCCAGCAGTCAGTATTAGCATGCGTTACTTCAGCACTTCCACTTACTAAATATTCAGTTAGTGTTTTAGATACCTAACATGCCCAACGGCTCCACATGATTACAGTCATTGAATAACAAAGATAAAAGAAGTCCCTTTGGAAATCGGGGCGTGGGGAGACAGGACTCAGGATATTCAACAAACCACATCTCTAATGATAGTTTGAAATAATATACAACATTCGCTCTTCAATTAAGAGGTGAAGATCAATCAAGAAAAATAGGTAATAAAATTTTACATTGAACAATAATTACCGAAAATACTATGACTAGTGTATTACCAGATTCCTGGTGTGGCACTGGACTGCTAGGTCAGTGGTTCAACCCCACCAGTCGCTCCCAAGAAACACTGTACAAGGTAGGTCACTATGAGTGGAAATGACTCAACAACACTTAGCGACAACAACATATACACGAACCACACGACACTCCAAAGACATAGTGGTTAAGCACTAGGCTAGTAACATTAAGGTCAGAAGACTGAATCTAACAGCTGCTCCATAGAAAAAAGATGTAGCCCTCCTTCTGTAAAGATTACAACCTTGGAAACCGTAGTTCTACTCTTGTCTTACAGGGTTCACAATGATCAAAATCTACTTCACAGCAATGAGTGATATATGTACACAATTTCTTGTTGTTGTTAAGTGTCATCAAGTAGGTTTCAATTCATAACAAACTATAAAGGTTTCCAAGGGGCAGCTGGTGACTTTGAACCGCCGAACTTATGATTACAACCAACCTTGCAGTCTAGTGCTTTATCGCACCATACTCAGTAAGTAATTATCCCATATACTACCCAAAAAGTATTTTTGGTAATTACTGCTAAATGTAAAGTTTTGTTACCTATTATTCCTAATTGATCTCCACTTCTTAACTGATCTCCTTAAAAAAGACAGAAGATAAATACGAACTGGAAAAACAGGCTATTTCTTTTTTTTAATCCACAATATGCAAATTTGAAAGGATACTGATCTGTCTGTGGTCTTCGAAAGTTCTCTGGAAGATTAGCTTCATACAGTAGTCTTGCTTTAGTATTTCCCATATCTTGCATACACTAAAATAAAACAAAAATGTTTTTCATTACTCCATGTATGCTACACTGCAATTCCTAGACACACATACATATGAACACATGCACACACATATGTGAACAAATACCAGATAACATTATCAACACATTATATTTAAATCATAACAAGAAATTATTCAAGTTCAAAACATAAGCATATTTTTAATCCTTCAATTTTCAGTATACATGGATCCATAATTTTTCTAAACTTTTTTTCCTTTAAAAACAATACCATCTTTATTTATACTTATTAAAAGTGGATTTCCTGGTAGTTTGCAAACAATACTGTTAATAACAATAGCAAATATTCTTACTAAATATATTGTTGTTAAGTACAGTTGAGTTGCTTCCAACTCATAGCAACCCTGTATAGGGCTTCCAAGGAGGGGCTGGTGTGTTTGAACCCTGTGGTTGGCAGCAGCCCAAAGCTTATGCTACAGATAAACTACTTGAAAACTGCATTTTTAAGGACTCAAAATCCAGTTTTCTGGGTTTTGAGCTTCAAAATATTTCTAGATTCTCTGAATTTATTATAGTAAAGATCACACTGGAGGTCATATAATCCTTAACACAGAAGGTTTAAAAATTAAAGCTTACTAGGCATACAATTTGATACTCATGTTATCCAGTTTAACAAAATTTCATACTTTTTATGAGTACAGATCTAGTACATCCTGGATATCCTATTACATTAAAACTAAATGTAAGATTTACAAACAAAACACTGTAATATTCATTTTTATTTGGTATCACATAAAGGTTAAAGGATCTCTGGTAGCATAGTGGTTACGAGTCAGGCTGCTAACCTCAAGGTCAGCAGTTCAAAACTACCAGCAGTTCCACAAATCTTTGCTCCTGCAAAGATGTATAGCCTCGGAAACCCCATACAGGGTTGCTATGAGTCGGAATCGACTCCACGGCACACCACCACACCCACCACCACATAAAGGTTAAATCCCTCAAAATGCTTCAATTGGTATAGATCTCTTTTTAATAATTCCTTTCTTTTGTAGACTTCCCAGACCCCTCTCAGATAAGACAATCTAGGTTTAACAGATTACCAGAAGTCTACTTTGAGATGAAAGCCCTGGTGTGGAGCTGTAGGGTGAGCATGAGCCTGCTAGCCACAAGGTCAGGTGTTCAAACCCACAAGTTGATCCTCAGAAACCCTATACAGGGTCACAATGAGTTGGAACTGACTAGACAGCACTTAACAACACCTTAAGTTGTAGTTCTTAAGAGTACACACAATCATCTTCCTTTAAATCAAAATTACAGTGACTAAGAGTTGCAAAATTCTAATATATGTGTAATTCTAATATAAACTAACCTCTGGATATCTACTCCATTACGTCTTCAACATGAGTCCCTCTCAAATAAAATAGACATATAAGTCATTCCTCTAGAGATAATGAGAATGTTAAGTAATGGGTAAAAATGTAACATTAACTAATGGGATGGGAGAGGGAGTACACGTTAAGTAATGGGGGAAGTACCAGTAAAATGTAAAGTGGGGGCAAAGGGATATGTTTTTGCTAAGTGTTGTCAAGTCAATTGAACTGCTGGTTAGCAGTTAGCAATGCTGGTTGTGGTTAGCAATTCAGGGTTTACCCTACAGTGCCACTATATATTAAAAAGAAAATCCTTGTTTATACCAATGGGACTACCCCAGTGACAAAATAGTAATTAACCAACCCACAAAAACAGTATTTCTTAAAACAGTCATGAAATAAATGTGTGAAGATAGAGGGTAAAAAAAGATAGAATCTAAATGTGCCCAAGTTAAATTATTGTCGTATCATGAAACAAAAAGCAAGCATAACCACCACCACCACCATTAGCAAAAGGCAAGATAATTCGCAGGGTGCCTGAAATTCCAGAAACAAGTTTAATGTCAAACTGATTTACTTTTTTTAACCCTTGCAAAATCTCGGGAGAGCAGAACACTTTGTGCACACCAAGTTAAGTGATAAAACGATGTATGGTTGTTATTTGTCCTAGCCCGACTGTCACACAGAGTCAATCCTAGCTTCAGTTGCTAGGTCTAAAAATGGCTTCTTGGACTTCACAGCTCTCCCTAATATTTGTGGTGCTTCCTCCCCTTTTCTACAAGGAGCTCTGGTAGCGTAGTGGTTACAAGTTGGGCTGCTAACCTCAAGGGCAACAGTTTGAAATTATCAGTTCCATGGGAGAAAGATAAGGCTTTCTGCTCCCGTAAAGATTTACAGCTTCAGAAACCATATACAGGGTCATTATGAGTTGGAACCAATTCCACAGCCCAGGACCACTACCACCACCATCCCCTTTTCTCTAGTACCTTCCCCAATCTGTCTCTGTACTGTTTCCTTTACTTTCCCCATTAGATAGTATTAGAAATATCTAGTCAACAGTCATTTATAGTAAAATTTACAGCTTAACAGACTATTCTGGAAGCTAGCTGTATATTTTTCATAAATAATTATTTTCATGTGTGTACTGATTTTCCTTTTGGTGTTTAATGTTTGTTTTTAAAATTGGATGCATACTAAATAATACAATGTTGCTGTTGCTGTATGCCATCCATTCAGTTCCGACTCATAGAGATCCTGTAAATAGTTTCTGAGAGCGGATAGTGAGTCTGAATTGCTGGCCTTGTGGTTACCAGTTCAGTGCTTAACCTATAATGTTGCACCAGGGCTCAATAATAGAAATGTTGCTATAAAAGAAAGAACTGAGATTACTAATTGCGATATTTGGAATGATCAGGTTATACTATAGTGAACAGATCCTCTAAATCCCAACGTCAAAAAAATGCAAAACTCTATAATCAGTCTGTCAAATGCCAGTGTTAAACAGAAGACCCTTATATGTCTCTATGTCAAACCTAAAGGCAGGAAGGTAAAATTAAAAAAACAAAAACAAAAAAACATCTATTTAATTTGCTTAGAAAGAGACACAGAAAAGAATAATCTTGGAGAAGAGCAGAGTAGGGGCCCTACCCAAAGGAGCAGTGATGCCAGAGATGCAGGTAGAGACGATGACGTGGAAAGATGGAGCGGCTGGGGACTCTAGACCCAGAGAAGGAAAGGAGCTGTGTGCCGATGACTGGGGTGGCAAGCTTGCGGAGTATACTCTTTGGTTGTTTGATGATGCATGGAGGGGATTGTACTCATGACAATGAAATGAAATACAATAGGATGAACGTAATGCTGATGTTCTCCCATGTAAAGTATCACATATTCACAATAAAAACTTTAAAAAAAAAAATCTTACCTTCAGGACAAAAGATTTTTGGGTAAGGATATAATGATGCCCATGTGTATATATATATGGAGCTTTGGTAGCGTAGTGGTTACAAGTCGGTCTGCTAACCTCAAAGTCAGCAGTTCGAAACTACCAGCCGTTCCACAGGAGAAAGATGAGGCTTTCTGCTACCGTAAAGATTTACAGCCTCGGAACCCCTAAATAGGACCGCGATGAGTCAGAACTGACTTGATGTCATCAGCTTATATGTTGCATGTATATGCAAGAAACTGATCAATATGGCTGCTCCTACAAAGGGAAACTAATTGGCTGAAGTGGGAGACTTTTCACTTTACACTTTGGTACACACTTTGAAGTCTGTATCATTTCCATACCTCTATACCCCAAAACTTAAAAAAAAAAATTAGATAGGATTACTTTAATCCTGAATTGTTTAAAAATTAAGTATTATGCACAGAAAGCTTAGCTAGGGGACATGGGTCCTCTTCTCTTTATGGTACAGTGAGCACAGATTTATGATCAAAAGAATAATTAGTCAAATCAAATTAGTACTTTTAGAAATCTCACCCAAGTATATTTTACATTAAAAATCTTCAAAATACTCTCAAAACAAAAATAGCATATATCTACTAAACCTTTTCATCGTATCACTTTCTTAAAGAAACACCAATGTTGAAGATTACATTACTGAAAGCTTCTGAAAACTTCTGTTTTGTGTGGGAGCTAAAAGATATTACTTGCTCTACTATAGTCAATTCATTAAAATCTCTAGAAAACAAAGATAAAATTTTTCAACTGCCTTAACTGAATGGGGGGGGGGAAGATTTATTAAGAGAAAATGAATAGGTTAATATTTGTAGTCCCTGAACAAGTTCTTCATGTTAGTAACTCACCTCTACTACCATTTGAAAATTTCCAGAATAGTTCTCTATCTTCCTCTCAAAAGTCACCAGGAGTTCTTGCATAGGAGCAAGGCTTTCAGGACTGGTTTCAAGATCTTTTGCATTCCAGCTGCTGGAAAAGAAGGGCCACCATTTTTGGTCTCAGGAACTCTTTGGAAATATTTAATACAGAGTCCATTCACACAGCTTTTATAAAATTGTTTGTTTCGTTTTGTTTTTTTTAGGGGAAGTTATTCTCTTTCTGTTTTAATTGTGCTTGAGAATAAAAGTATAGTACACATTTAAAACTGGAAATTTTTTAATGACGGGGAATTACAGCTACCAGGTGCCATACCTTTTCACAACTTCTAAATACTCTCAGAGCTATGGGTTAATGCGCCAGACTGCAAGGTAGCTCTGAACTGCAAGGTTGGCAGCTCAAGCTTACCAGTTGTTCCTCAGAAATCCTATACAGGGTCACTGTGAGTCAGTGCCAACTCAAGAGCACTTAACAACAACATAGAATAAGTGCTTTCCTCTAAAGCCATGAAATTAAAGATGATGCTATTCTTACATGCCCTGAGTCAGTCCTGTCTGGTGGGTTTGAACCACCAACCTTGCACTTAGCAGTCTAGCACTTATTCACAGCGGCACAACAAGAATCCAAATCAAAGATAGCTGTGACAAACCTGAGAAAGTTTGTCAACACTTTTATATCGTTAGACTATGAAATGTTACACTACTTGAAGAAGAAACCATTGTAACAGGTGTGTGAGGTCAAAGCCCAAGAGTCATCTTGGACATTTCCAACTCTCGCCAGAAGTCTTGGTAATCCTAACTTCTTAATATTTCTTATAGGCA